TTCCCTTCCCTTCCCTTCCCTTCCCTCTGGCTACAGATGAGACTGTAGCCACAGTTTCCCTTTCCATTATCCATAACGTCAGCTTGACTTTCCTGATTTACCTTTACTAAGTGGCAATTTTTAATAATCCTGTAAGTGAAACAGTCAGATGGTTCACACATGCCCATGTCAGCCTGGAAAGTTAGTTGTATAATCCTGTGAAATGCTGGATATCTCTGACAGAATAGTAATGGAAATTAGGGAGTTCAATATTTGGGCCTCACTCTATACACTCAAAAGGCCACTGGCTGCATTGCTAGGAAAGCTATGAGAAGCTGAGATGCATCATAAACCTGCCTAGCAAATCTGTGACTCAGGAGGGAAACATGAAGGTAAAATCTGGAGTCAAAAGCAGAATATGAAGAAGAAAATAAATAGAACTGCCAGAATTAGTAAGGTACTGATACTGTAGTGTAATATATTCCAGCAGTTTCGTGCTCCTGGTGCTCTGCTGACCTGAGACCAGGAGAATTGAAGTCTGTCTAATACCCATTTGCTGCGTCTGTGTAGTGTCCAGGCAGTGGAGCACCAGAGAGCAAACGCAATGGTGGAAAACGTGCCATTTCAGCTTGCATCAGCCAGGGTCACATCCTCTGCCTACCCAGCATGCCAAACACAGCATTCAGGAGGATGAGCTTCCTGTGCGTGTTCAGAGTGAGAGAAAGCAATCCCAGCTCCTGCTCCTAGCAGAAGGCTTCTTGCATGTCATTTCAGCAGGCAGAGATGGAGCTGTGCCAGTGTACATGGCACATACAATATTCCTCAGAAAATGGGAGAAGAGATGATCTGCCTCATCCCTATTAGGAGGAACTGGCTCGTCAAAGAAGATAATTAGGTGTCTTGTTTTCTCTTATCTGTTTTGGAAAGAGTTGGTTTCTTCGATCAGCTATGCATCTGTGGGAGTACGCTTCCTATTCTGAGTCACCTTGCTCCAGATACTTATTTTCTTTATGGAACCTACCAGCAGCTGCTTCTATCTACTGTCATCTGCTGTGCTTGTGGTATGTTACAGTTAGACCTAACAATTGCAAAACAAATGCAAGAGGCAACTCTGAGGAGCTAATTTAAATCAAGTGCAGTGAATGAAAACAAACAGTAATTTTTGTTTTCAAAAAAGGGAAGAGGAGCAAGAACAGAATTATGCTGCTATACTGAGTATTTTTCACTCACTAGGCAAATATTTTAAGTACACATTCTATGACACTTAGTCTTTTTAAGTCCCCTTTTTTCTCCTCATTTGCTGTTTTCCATGTGTCTGTCTCTGAGGAAAATTGCCTTTGACTGAGATGGCTTTGTGGAAATATTAAATTAGTTTAAGGTTTCCAAGGAAGGAGGGAGGGAATAGGAGACTGTGCCTTATGGGAGAAGGCAGTGCCACGCAGTAAGAAGGAGGCCATGGAACGGGTAGCCAGACTAGTATCATCATTAGTCTTCAAAGAAAGGCCTTGACTAACACATGCAGTCCTCGATGCTAATTATGAGTAATTCAGCAAAAACAGTAGGAAGGACTCAGCAGAAGGATTCAAACAGGGAACTGAATGAACCAGAGCAATAGAGATTGTCTTTACTGCATAGCTTCACATGCCACACTTCAAGCCTGATGAACAGGCTTGGTTATTGTCACTGAAATTATATTTCATGGTAGTAACAGCTGGGAGCAAAGATTGTTTGGAATAGGTAAAAGAAATATGGTTTTGACCAACTTTAACTGAACTAGTATCTGGAAAGGTATCTGTACAATTATCTAAGAAGAAAAAAACAAAAAAATAAGATTACTACTGGAAGAATTGAAATGAAATGGGCAAAAGTGTGAAGACGGTTGCAGACAAGGGAGAATAAGGACCAAGAATGGGACTGGGAAGATGGAACAATGGGAAGGAAAATAGGAATTGCAGGGGAGGTCGCCATGAAAACAAGGTAGGAGAGAGGAGGATTTATGTCCTAATAGATATAGGACATAAGGTGAGAACTTGCTACAAGACATTGCTAGGAACCCCTTCATCATTCAGCTGGTAGCTGAATGCAATCTGACCAGTGTTGCTCTTGTGTACAGGTCAAGTTTCTTGCCACTGCTTTCTCTAGTACACAGATATTTGAAAAGTCATTTTAATGCTACAATTGTCTATCGTTGATGAAGTCTTATGGGAGCAGGTATCTTTGTTCACAGTGCCATGTGCCACAGGTATCATCATCATGGGGTTTGCTTCATTGTGTTACTGTTTCTTTTCTTTCTTTTTAATAATTTTGATTCTCTGCTTTCTACCGTGATGCTTTTTTCTGGGAGTCTTGTGCTTGTTCTTCTTCATCCATTTTTTTACTTTTCTAATCCGTGGGCTCACACAAAACTTTCTGCCTTCTATGTAGAGACTGCCAGAGCAAAAATTGGTTGTTAGTTTCAAAGAAGAAACTTTAAAACCCCAACTTCTTAAAACATACTCATCACGCACCAAGGAAGACCATAAAGTTGCAATTGGTTACTCTTAGATTATTTTATGCTATGTCTATTCACTTTTGTCTGTTTTCAAATATGTAAAAGCTAGGATTTAAAGTTTATGTGATTACCCTTGTCTTCCAAAATCTTAAAAAAAAAGCTCTAGTACTTCAGTGAGTCTTCAAAGAACCTCAGTGCAAAACAATACATTTCTATGGCAAATAAATAAGTAACTATTGTTATTAGTGTTATGACATCATGCAAATGTCTAGAAATAAAAAATGTCTGGGGTTTCTTTGAAATTTATCAATTCAACCCAAACAGCATGATACTGTATCAGAAAAAAAAAAAAAAAAAAAAAAAAAAAAAAAAAAAAAAAAAGTATTTGAACTAGCTCATGTACAAAAGTAAAGCTCATTTAATGAGTTCAGGCAAGTTTGTAGAGGATCAGTAGTTGGAAAAAATCAGAGAATTCTTAAGGTGCATGAGTCATTCTTCAGTTCTGAAAATAAAGCAAGTGCCAAAGTTAATGCAGGCTGAACAGTGATCAATATTATTACTGAAAAGGAAATTCAGTTTCAGCAGTCAGAAGTTTAAATAGCACAAGGAAGGACAGTTCTCAAATCACACACAATTTTGTTTTTCATTGAATTTGTGTTAATATTCAAGACTGTACTTCTTTAAACAACACCTATTGGGTTTTAACTTAACAATACCCCTTTCACAGTGAAGGACCCAAAACATCTCTTACATAACAGCTTCTAGGTGACATAGGCCATCTGCTTTCTGGATTTCAAACCTCTCCACTCTTCGGAGAATTCCTTTGGGAATTTCATACGAAATTTCCGTGCAACAATTAAAGGCCCCAGGAAACAACGCTAAAAAGAGTAATAACAATGTTAGAAACAACATAGGGATGAAGAGGACAAGTCATAGCTTGACTTCACAGAATGTTTTATGTTGGAAGGGATCTGTGGAGGTCATCCGGTCCAAAACCCTGCAAAAGCAGGGCCACCTGGATCCACTTATGCGGGAACATGTCCACACACCTTTTGCATATTTCCAGGGATGGAGACTCCACAACATATCCGGGCAATCTTCTTCAGTGTTTGACTACTCTTGTAACAAAAAAAAGTTTTACTACATTCAGATTGAATTTCACATGTTTTAATTTGTGCCTGTTGCCTTTTGTTCTGTCAGTGGGCACTACTATGAAGCACCCGGCTCCCTCTTCTTTCATTCCCATCAAATATGGGAATGATGGTTAGAACACCTTGGTGAGAACTCCCTTGAGCTCTCTATTCTCCAGGCTAAAGAGTCCCAGCTCCCTCCGCCTTTCATCATACGCAAGATGCTCCAGTCACTTCATCGTCTTTGTGGCCATTCACATGGGCCTTTCGCAGCCCAGGTCTCTCTTGTACTGGGGAGCCCAGAACTGGACCCAGCACTACCCGTATGGCCTCACAAGTGCTGAGGGGAAGGATCACTTCCCTGGACCCTATAACTAATACCCCCGGTCCCAACCCCTGGTAATGTGGTTAGCATAACTAATCCCATTTTATAAGGCAAGAAGCCATTCTGTGATCGAGCAAGTCATAAATTTCTTCCTTTTCCCCTGAAGCATGTGAAACAAGCAGAAAAAGTAAATAGATTTCTTCTCCCTTCCCCTCCCCGCCTCTAGCATGTTCTGCTGCCTGGCATTATTACTCTGCACATGCAGGACTTTGCATTTTCCCTTGCTGAACTTCAGGAGATTCTTCTCTGCCCATTTCTACAGCCTCTTGAGGTCTATCTTTAAGGGTGCAAATCTATGTGGTGTGCCAGCCATTGCTCCCAGTTTTTTATTATCTGTGAACTTGCTGAGGGCATATTCTGTCCTATTGTTCAGGTCATTAATGAAGATGTTGAACACCTGGGGAACACCTTTTTGACACCTGGGGAACACCACTGATGACTTGTTTCCAACTGGACTTTGTGCAGCTGATCACAATCCTCTGGACCTGGTCATTTGGACAGTTTCCAGACCACCTCACTATTCACTCATCTAACCTCTACTTTGTCAGTTTGATGATTTTATGGGAGACAGTATCAAAGACTTCCCTGAAGTCAAGGTAAACAACATCCACTGCTCTTCTCTTGACTGTCAAGCTAGTCATGTCATTGTAGAAGGCTCCCAGGTTGGTCAAGCATTATTTCTCCTTCATAAATCCATACTGATTACTCCTGATCATTGTCTTGTCCTTTAGGCCTTTGGAAACATTTTCCAAGAGGATTTTCAAGTGAGCTTGACCATCCTATAGTTCTCTGGATCTTCATTCTTGCGCTTCTTGAAGATGGGGGTGATATTTGCTCTCTTCCAGTCTTCAGGAACCTCTCCCAGTCACCATGACTGTCCAAAGATAGTTGACAATGGCCTCAAAATTACATCACCCAGCCTCCTCAGCACTGGTGGGTAGTGCATCCCATCTGTCCCTGTGCCCTTATGTAGGTTCAGTTTTTTCAAGTCCTCCCTAATTTAGTCCTCTCCCATGGATGATGAGTCTTCCTCACTCCAGACTGTCTGTCTGGTCTCAGGGACCAGGGATTCTTGGAGGCTGGTTTGAATGGTAATGAGTGAAGCAAAGAAAGCACTGAGTACCTCAGCCTTAGCCATATGATTTGTCACCGGGCGCCCTGTCCCACTCAACAGTGAGTTCACATATTACCTTCTCTGTATTTTGCTATTTATGTACTTGTGGACTCTCTTTTTTGTTGTACATCACACCCCTTGACAGATTCAACTCCAGCTCAGCCTTGGCTTTCAGAACCCCATTCCTCCATGATCAGACAGCAACTCTATACTTACCTGAGTCACCTGCTCCTGCTTCCACCTCCTTGTTCCACATTTCGTTTTCATGTTCAAGTTCAGTTAGGACCTCAGCTGGCCCATTGTCCATCCCCAGGCACAGCTCCATGCATTCCTGGCACTCTCTTAGCGAAAGGGCAACTCTCCCTCCTTACCTTCCAGCCTGTTCTTCCTAAACGCCGATACCCCTTCACTGCAGCACACCCATCACACGAATCGTCCCGCTGTGCCTTCATGATCCCAGTGAGATCCTAGCCCTGCACTTGTAGGCAAGACTTCGGACTGCTCCCCCTGCTGCACACACTAGTGGAAAGACTCAGCTTATGGGATGGGATACCATTCTCTCTGCTTTTCCCACAGAGAGAGAGGTGTTTTTGTTGTCTAAAGCACTGTTTCCTTCACTTCTCCTTGTGCGCACGTATGTAAAATCTTGTTACAGTAAATAAAAATAAAATATTTAAATGTTTTTGGTGTAGAAGAAGATCGTTAACATTAAAGACACAGAAAATGTCAGGAGTATAATTTAAAAGCTCTGCCTTGTGAGGTTGAATCAGGGTTTTGTGTTTTCTTTTGCCCCAAGTGCTCCTGAGGCTGAACGTGTCTTCGCTAGGGAATGATCTGCAGGTTTTTTCCCTGCTTGCTAATACCATCTTGAAAGTAGAAAGTTATTGAACCTTAATAAACAGATCATAACTGAAGAATTATTTTTTTTTTGTGACAAATGCTAACATTCTGCTGTTTGATTTTCTTCTGCTTTAGCACAGAAATAGATCTCATAAAAGAGATTCCCTACATCAGCTCAAGAACAAGTAAAGCTATGTGGCTCAGGGGTATTATCTGGCATATGAGGGCCTCAGGGTCAAACCCATGCTTCAGAGTGAGCACAGCAAGGATCCTGTGTCCCAGTCCATGAGCTAATCTGGAAGAAGTGAGGAGACAGTCTTCTTCCTATTTATTTTTTTCCCCCCAGCCTGTAAATCATGCTTCTTCCTTAAGTAATCATTTTTCCTTGGAGTGGGAGAGTCACAGAGCAAGAAAAAAAGAAGCAAGAGAATAAATTTTTGTTCCTTTAAGCAGGAAATGAGAAGTCTGTTAAAAGTTTTTTTTTGTGTAAGCAAGAAGACTGTGTGGTGTGTTCACTACAAGAGTGCCTGCTGAGCACTGGAGTAACAGATGCTGGCAGAGCCACAGCAGTGAGCTTGAGCAGCGAGGGATGTAGCAGGAGATGCTGAAGACCAGTCACACTATCCACTGCAGTTGCAGGGGACTTTGTACCAGTGGGGTTGCTGATGGATCCTGGAGATTTCACAGCTTGAAATTGAGGAAGAAAGAAGCTGGCCTAGGAGTTGCCTCCTCATCAACCCAGAGAAGAGGACTGTAAGTAGTCATATGGTGCAGAAGGATTAAGTGTTGAATGTTACCTGCGTTATTTCCTTGTTCGTTGCATTTCTTGCTTCAACAGCATACTGGTTGTGAAGCCAATTAATTGATGTTTGCCAAAAGGAATTTGGCTCCTTAAACACCACTAAGTTTACGTTCTTCTGGGGGCTCAAGATAGCATTGGTGACGTTGAAGTATGAACTTCTGTTGTCACCAGTGAGCTCCTGGCAGAAGGATTGTGTGGGATAAAAACCTAAGGAAGGGTAATTATACCTTGAACTTTATCTGAGGTTGCTGGCTGTGCTTTTTGGAGATTTTTGTCCTGTGCTTCTTGCAGTGTAGTAATCTAAAATACTTCGCAAAGCCAGCACTGTCATCCTCCTGTGGAGTGGCTGGGCATTACAGAAGGTCTCATGGTGAGCCAGCTGTCTTTTGAACTCTTCCTCACCTGGTTTCTCCACTGCTTGGCTACTATCTCTTGATAACTAGCACCTTTTTACATGGGAGTCACTTTAAAAGTTAATTTTAAATTAAAAAAAAAAAGAAGAAGAAATTTCTGAGTGTGAAGATCTGTCAGTACAGTGAGCCAAGGATTTCCTGTATTTCCACGAGCCCCAGGAGAGCGGACGCTGCTCTTCTGGAGCACTGAGCCATCCTGCAGCTCCATTTCCCAGTCCATTATTACCATAACACCATAACCATGTTCTAATCCAGCAAGTAGGAGGTAATAAGATAAGGTAATGACTTCAGTCCAAGCCAATACCATATATTTTTAGTGGTTTCACCAATTAGATCAGGCTTTTTAGTAATCATCAGTGTAAACAGTGGTTAAAAGGAAAGACATGGTTTTCCACAAGGATGTTGGCATGGCTTTTTGTGTGCCATTTGTCAATCAAAGAGTTTTTTGCAGTGCCACCTATTTCATTTGACTCTATGGGTCAGTGGCACAGTCAGAAATCCACAGCTGCTTACCTTAAAACTATTTAGACCTGTTGTCTGACACTGAACCTCTTTAACCAGAAAGCTGAAGGAGCTGCTGAAAGGACCAGGAAACTTACTGATGGATCTTGAGACAGGTCTACTCAGGGATTACTCTGTTGTTATTTCAACAGGTGATATTATCTATTTTTGTATTTCTACCCTGTAAAGTCTCACCAGGAAAAGACTGAATGCTTTTAAAAAGTTTTATTTCATATTTTTAGGTGGCATCTTAAATCTTGCAGAAAAGTCCCCTGGAGCAAGTTAATCACCCTTGCAGATGGCAAGCAATATACTAACTGGAAAATACTTTCACTCTACCTGGTCTCTCAAGAATGCCTAAAAAGAGCCTCCTCTTCAGGTCCATGTAGCCTGTGGAATACAAGAGTGCTGATATTTTCATTGTACCAGATTAATTTTAACGTGCTATGTATAGCTTTTTCAGTTTTAAAAGAAGTGGAGAGAAAATAAAGCTTTGGCTTTCTCATAAGAATTAGTTGTTTAGGACATTTGAGAAAAAACAGATCTAGGAATTTAAAATCCCTTAAATTCTGAATTATTTTGCTTGTTGTTCAAGGAATGTAGAACAAGAACTTAATTTAAACTTCCCACAGTGGTTTGTTTGCTTGGAAGCCTGTCAAATCTTGGTGGTATAGTAGTAATTTATTTTCTCAGAGTTGGAAAGATCAAAAGCAGTTGGCAACTGTAGATTACTGCTTCCACCTGTACTCAGCTAGGCCTGTTAGAAGCTCTTTTAATAAAATATTGCTCCAAAATGGGAAAGATTTACAAAGTTTGTAAGACACATTGAGTGTGAATTGATGTGATTGGAGTGCTAGAGGCACAGCAAAAACAGTAGGTCTGATGGAACAAGACCTCTGCAAGTGCTGTTCATTCTATCTGTCTTTTGGCCAGATCAATCACCTGTCTGATTGCTGAAAGTTTCTTTTTCCATTTCCTGTCTGCTGCCTGGCCTAACTCAGTCTGTAGGAACTTTTCTTATCCTTTCTGCTTTGCTTTTTTCATCATCATTCTCAAACTGGAGAACCATGTGTTAAACAGCTGAGGAAGGCTGTGTCACCTAGGGTTCAGGCAAGAAACAGTAAAAGCTATTGTTGCTGCCTGCTCAGTTTCTGGGGCAACAAGGAACACTTCCCTCCTTCTTCAGTTTCAAAATTATATCCTTACATTTGCCTACCTGCCTAGGGAGACTGTAGTGCCTGATGAAGAGCCCTCCTATGGCACGGAGTGTGAGCAGCCAGTGGCTGCACTGCTGCTCTCTGGCTGCAGTTTTTAGGCAGGTGGGACTGGGCTGATGTCTCAATGTAGGTAAAGACCACTAGTGTCAAGGAGAAACAGCAGGCATCGATTCAGCCAGACTCTTCTGTAGCAAATTTAAGACGCCAGGGCAGGTCTTTGCCTCATGAGGGGGGGCCAGATGGACAAAAAACAGGAGATGTAGCCACATGGAAACAGGTGGTGACCAATGGAGCCATTGTGTTCCTCATCCTTATGCTTGCTCTTAACTATACTTGGTTTCATTTTGGCGTCTTTTGACTAAACACAATAGGAAAAGCTGAGCTCTAGGTGAGACCAGTGGGAAAGGATTTTTGCTCCCTGTCTCCATTTCTCACTTCTCCAGACCCAACCCAGCTGCCTTAGGCAGACCTTGTGCTTCTCTTTTCCTGACAGGTTTCACCCTGGCAGTTTGTTCTGCATTTTGCAGTGTCAAAACACACCAGCAGTGTTCTGTCTAGGCCTTTGGTGGTCTGCCCTGAATCCTGCTGGCAGCACAGATGAGCTGGTGAGTGTTGCTGGCAGAGCGCTCCGTTGACCATTGTGAACTGGATGAGACTCATGCACTGCTGAGTGAAAGGCTGTGCCGTAGGCGTTCTTCCATGTAACAAAAAACCCAGAAAGAGAGTTCTTGCACTTGCACAGGCTAAGGGAGCCCAGCAAAGATGCTTATAGTTATTGAGTGCAATGGGTTCCGCCAACATACTGTGTGGTCTGATGGACAGCTTCTCAGGCACAGTAAGATCCATAAAGCTGAGTCACTTTCTGTGTGCATGCTGAAATGTGAGACCTGCTGCTAATGTGCCTCAGGTTCACCATGAACTGATGCAGCTCTGCACCGATTGCACAACTTTGGCACACCTGGGTCTATTAGCAGCAGGCATTAGTGTTTCTTAATGGAATTCTTTTATGGTTACAAAGTAGGCTTTGTACATCCGGAGGAAAAAAAAAAAACACCTTTGTGTCGATTAATCAGATTAATGGATTAATGTCTTGCTTAATTGTAACATGATAGGCACTGAAATCCTCTGGTTTCAGTACAGCCATTTCCGTAGGTGAGTTTCGGCTCTTAATCCAGTAGTGTTGGTTTATGAACACAGAATCCAGGCTCTGTCCTTGGAAGGAATTTAGCTATCGCATCACCTACACGTCACATTAACTGCTATAAGGCAGCTCTGATCCTGGTTGGCAGGTGAACAAAGCAAGATGCTAGAATCCTTGGCAAAGGTAGCATAGATGTAGTCTGTAAAAACAAGGAGGCTGCTTAGCAGCTGGGGGTGAAAGGTGCTGAAAAATGCTCTAATGCATTCTACTGTTTTGACTGCATGGTAATGCACACAATTAAAGTGTAACCCTGAGAAAGGGATTCTAAGTTATGTCTGCTACAGTGGTGGAAATAACTACAAATAAAGTATAAATCAATATATCTCAATATAT